TTCTTATTTATATTAATAATCATATTCGTATTGGTATTCATATTCGTATTCCTATTAATATTTATATTCATATTCATACTCATTCAAATTCATATTCATTATCATACTCACATTAAGATTCATGTTCATATTGATATTTATATTCCTATTCCTATTCATATTACTTTTCATATTCATTATTTTATTCAGATTGATATTCATTGTTATATTCAGATTCGTATTCATACTTTAATTCATAGTCATATTCATATTCACATTCATATTCATATGAATCTCCATATTCATGTTCATATTCATATTCGCATTCGCATTCGTATGGTTAACTTACCTCATGGAGTACAGTATGCCGCCATTTTGATCCAATCGCAACAGCTTATTCGGTACAGTGATGGTGTGTATGTGCGAGTGTTTTCCGTTGAAAAAATATGTATCCGGTCGCCAAATCTTATCCAGCATCTAACAAGGACAAAATATTTTTAGGGGTGCCCGAATTATTTAAAAAAAAATTTAAAGGATTAACGCGTTATAAATATTTTCGTCTTTGGCATATTCTAAAGCAGCAGCCAAAATCGAGTTGCGCTCATATTCGTACTGCACCGTACGAAAAAATATTAAGCGATTCCTTTTTCTTAAAATGTCAGACCTTTTATTTTTTTAGGTAAATGCTCTAAAATTTTAAGAAAGAGCAATTGTTTAATTTTTATTCATACGGCCCATTATTATAACTAGACGCTCTAGGATTGTGTATCGATATATTTTTAAGTACTGCAGTGAAACCTCTTCTAACGAACGCCTATATATGACGGACACTTTCCTTAGGCGGACATTTTTTCCTATCCCAAGTCTTAGGTATAGTTTGCAGAACAATTAATAATTCTTGTTTGAGCTATGTAACATAAAATCAAATAAAAAAATATAAAAAATGACGATCAATGTCCGCTCAAGAACGGTTTCACTGTATATATGCCACTAAGAGTATAATTACCCTAAATTACCCCCTCTGATCAGTAGCCCTAATAATCACGATTTTTGAATCAGCTAAATTTAGTTTCTATTACAATGTAACTAAAAATATTCCTGATTGATGAATTTTTCCATTATCCGAAGGCTCTGAAAAATATGAGTAACACGTCGACTTTGACTGCTTTCGAGATGTGTCAAGCACGAAAATTTTTACCACGCAAAATCCTCGCGAAATAAGCCGTAAAACTAAGGAATTAAAATAACAAACTTTATTCTTTCATACGACGATCGATCCGGTCTAATGTGCATACCTTAATGCTCAGTGAAAGGCTTTGTATTGGCCCCTGAAAGCTCAATCGCTTATCGCGCCAATACTGCCTAAAATAGCAATCCATAGAATAGTCCATATCCAGCTCGGACACCGGTCCCATGCTGCGTATGAGAATGTTCGTCCTCACCACCGTTGGCACACCTGTCGAATATTATTTCACGTCCATAACTCAAATATTTAATCTGCAAAGATTTAAGTTAAAGGCTTTTGAATACAACCGCACCACTCACCTTGCCCGTGCGTTGGTAGCTGTGACTGTTCGTAGCTTTTAAGTAGATTTTCCAAAATAATCGAGATGTTGCGACTTAACATGTCCGATGATGCAGTGCGTTTACGCATATTTGTTGCCATCGTCACATTGGCATCCACACTGGTTGACGTCACTGTTGCGTCCGCTGTCGTTGTCGCCGTCGGCCATGCAGTGGTTATGTTGATGTTGGTTGTAGCGCTGGCTGGTGTGTCGTCCGTTGTTAAATCTGACATGCGTTTAAAACGTTGTCCGCCGGCGGTGTGTGCATCTTGCAGATCTGGCAATTCTGGCAGTGCGCGAAAGGATTCGTAAATGCGTGCTACTTGCATTGCCCGTGTAATAGTGGGCAGCGGTAGTTGTTGATGTTGTTGGTTAGGTGAGGAATGCAATGGGTGGTAATAGTCTTTAACCTTCGCCTTTTCGCCGTAAGATGTGCCATCGCTGATAGTGGTTGCGTTGACAGCTTCTGCGGGGGCTTTTAAACTAAAAGCCAAATTAGCCGGGAAATTGCTACAAAGGGATAGATTTATTTTCGAGATTACCGAACTGCTGTTAGTTAAAATTACTAATACATATCTATACATACACACATATGTACGCTTGTATCTGCTAACAAATCAAGGTATGTATTTAGAAGGCATCTTAAATTTACCTCATCATTGGTGTCAACACCATGTCGATGCTACTATTTGTGTCGTAGTTGTGTTGGTCATATGTGGTGGTAGTTGCTGCTGCTGCAGTTGTGGCAGTGGCAGTGTCCTCTTTTCTTGTTCTCTTTTCACTTTCATAAAGCACTCTTTGTTGGTCATTGCCTCCACTAAGTGTCATTAACTTATCTTTGGTTTTGGTTTCGTTCGTTATTGTTCTTGTTGTCGCTTCTGTAGTCTGATTAGTAGCGGCAGTGGGTACACCATGGCAGTGTAGTTTTAATAGCCCAATTACCATTACCAAACTGAAAATCAAAAAATGTGCTGGGTTTAGACAAAAGTGTAATCCACACATACTAATTATAAAAAATTTATTATATTAGTAATGTTTGTAACGCTTAGGCCAAGAAAATACCGAACCGATTTTAATTTAGATTTTTCTGAAACGTTTCATTTATGAAAAAGAATTTGACCGCATGCTTATTTAATGCAAAGAGATGGCGCTGGAGTCGAAATATTTACACAAATTCCTATTAATGAAATTATTTGATTCAAACTTCAGTATGTATATTACCCAAGTTGAGAAATAATTTTGCAAAGACTTAAGTCGCCAGATAGCGCTGGAGTCGATATATTTACAAAACACATATTTATGGTAAAATTTTGTTAATTTTCGGAATGTACTTTTGCTATGTAATAACAGTGTTCGGCAGTCGGCTGGGGAATAGATGAAACCAAGTTTGTTTTAAGTCTGCATTGTGAATAGAAAAGTCACTTCACAGTTTTCTTAGTTTGGCGCTTTTAAGCGTTTTTTCCAATTGAAGTTGAGGGTCGAAAAGCAGCATTAATACAATTGAAATTTATTTAAATGCAAATATTTGCTGGGTACTAGGGTGGTCCAAAATGCATGTGAAAAGGTAAAGTCGGAAGTTTTATGCTCTCACCCTAAGATTCTTCTATACCGAAATGGTTAAATAAACAAATGTGTATTGTTATTGGAAGTCTTCTGAAGAGAACCAGAGTTTTCCGATCGAAAAATATTGATTTTCAAGAATATAAAATACATATGGGGAAAAACAACTTTTTTCGTAGAAATGGTATAGAATTCTTGAAAATCAATATTTAAAAAATTTTGAGCGCTTTGAGCGACCTCTAAATATTTTTTGATTTCGCAATAAATAAATACGGGTATACTTTTTTCGATATAGAGCAATCCTGGGGTGATAGCATTATAATTCCGACTTTACTCTTCTTGGACCACCCTACTGGGTAGATACGCTTTTGTACAATAGAACATGAACAAACATTGCTTAGCAACATCGTTTGCATTTTTCCTTCATGTTACTACCATGTTTCTTGCATGAAAGCGCACCCAGCGGCCGTTTTTGGTAAAAATAAACTGCAAATTTAGATTCCTCGGATCCCTAAATGACCAAAAAGGCTTTTTAAATGTTTAAATATTTGTATTTTAATAAATTTTAATTGTTTTAAATGCTGCTCTGTATACCATTTCACCGAAAAGTTTTTCCCCATATAAAATATGTACATGGAAAACTTTGATCGCTTTGAGCGACCTCCAAATATTTTTTAATTAAAAAAAAAAAAAAAACAAGTAAGAGCAGCGCTGTCTTCGGCTATGCCGAAGGCTTCATACCTTTCATGAACATCTGCGAATTTTACTTTGACAGATTACTGCTTTTGAATACATCTGCATACATCGATAGAGGAGTTACATACTTATATAAAAAATCGCATCTAAACAATCAGAGGTATGGAAGATATACTTTATATGGCACCAATCTAAGTGATTTTCACTGCTATGTGATCGGTATGTAAACCGGTAACACAATTTATTGGGTTTAGTTTCCTACATAAAGGAGATATATCGTAAAAACTGGTATCTGAACAATCAGTGGTATAGGAGATAAAGCTTATACAGCATAGATTTTGACGATTTTCTCAGTAGACTTTGTATTATTATTTATAAAATATCTTACGAAATTTATCGGTTTTAGCTGTTCAAATAAAGGAGTTTTACAGTAAAATCCCATATCTGAACAATCAGATGTATGGAAGATACATATATGTTATAGTCACCCGATCCTTGTTATTTTCACTGTAAGTATTCCGTTGATAATGAGCAAAAATGGTGCGAAATTTCATGTTCCTAGCTGCACAAATGGAGGAGTTATGATAAAAGACCTCATATCTGAACAATCAGTTGTATGGGGGCTACAGGTTATAGTGACCCGATCTTTGTTATTTTCACTGTAAGTCTTCTGTTGATAATGAGTGAAAACAGCGCGAAATTTCATGGTCCTAGCTACATAAATGGATGAATTATAACGAAAAATCTCATATCTGATCAATCAGTTGTATGGGAGCTATAGGTTATAGTTACCCGATCTTTTTAATTTTCACTGTAAGTTTTCTGTTAATAATTATTGAAAACAGTGCGGAATTTCATGTTCCTAGCTATATAAATGGAGGAGTTATAACGAAAAATTTTATATCTGAACAATCAGTTGTATGGGAGCTATAGGTTATAGTGACCCGATCTTTGTAATTTTCACTGTAAGTATTCTGTTGATAATGGGTGCAAATACTGCAAAATCTCATGTTCGTAGCTGCATAAATGAAGAAGTTATAACGAAAAATCTCATATCTGAACAATCAGTTGTATGGGAGCTATATGTTATAGTGGTCCGATTCTTCCGGTTCCGACAAATGATTAATACATTATAAAAATACACCCACCTACCAAATTTGATCCGGATATCTCGAAAACTGAGAGACTAGATTGCATACAAACAGACGGACAGACGGACAGACGGACATGGCTAAATCAACTCAGCTCGACGTTCTGATCATATAAGTATACATTTTAATGGGTCTATCTCTTTTTGTTCTGGTACTTACAAACATCGGACCAAAGTTATAATACCATTTCATGCTCATGAAAGGTATAATAAGGGTATATTTTTTGCGGTATAAAACAATCCTAGTGGTGAGAGCATACAAAAATACTTTACTCTTCACATGCATTTTTGGACCACCCTAATATACATACATATGCATCTAGTGCAGCGAAGGGCGGATAGAGCTTTTATATGTATAGAGAGCTTAAAAGAGCTTTGCCCGCGTGCAAAGCGGTGCCCATCACCGATCTAGTGCATAAAAAAACTATCGCGGTCGAATGCTTACATTTCACGCTCTGTTTCACGTGTCCACTTTTTAGCGTCCAAGTTTTCACTCTTCAAAGATTTTATCCACCTTTTGAATATCTAATTTATTGTCAAATTTTCAAGGAACTAAAAACGTATGCCAAACTTTTAAAACATTTATGCACGACTTTCAGAAAATAAAAATTTCATGCTCACCTTTCAAAAATTCAAAAGTGTTTGCCAAACTTTCAGAAAACAAAAAACGTATAACAAAATTTTAGTAATCCAAAATTGTATGCTCACCTTTCAATTCTCTGTTAACGAAAAATAAAGACTAATTTTAAGGAAACCAAAATTGTATGTCCAGCTTTCAGAAATAGAGAGAAGTTATGACCAGCGTTCAGAAAACCCAAAATGAATTTAAGAAATACAAAACTTTAAAAATGTATGCCCAACTCCCAGAAAATCAAAACTTTGTCTAAATTTTGCAAATTAAAAAAAAATTTATGTCCAACTTTCTGAAAACCAAAAACGTATGTCCTACTTTGAAAGTCCAAAAAATTTATGTCCAGCTTTAAAAAAAAAAAAAAAAAAATTAAGTTAAATTTTTAGAAAACAAAAAAATTATGCCCAACTTTCAGAAAACCAAAAACTTTTGAAGAAAATCTGATAACACCAAAAATATGATCGTCCCAAAACCAAAAATGTATGTCCAACTTTTACTTACAAATGTTCACCCAACGCTTCCTTGCATTCTTTGACAGCACCTCACCAGGCTGTTGTTTATGTTAAAGCCTCTACCATGACTATTTCGCTGTAATATTTTTCTACACTGAGTCAATAAGCTAGACTTTTTTTTTACCGATATTAAATACCTCAATAGACATAAATGTATGCAACCATATTATTGTGCTCCAAACAAATGCTATTTTCTTAACTAAATTACTCCTACATACATATGTATGTTTGTATGTATGTACATCGTCTGCTAAACGTTCAGTGAGTTCCTCTTAGAAGCTCCTTAATCTCCTCTAACGGAAGCTGCTGAGTCATGAAGTGCTCGAAAGTAATTTAACGTCTTAGGGTGACATGCACGTAGTTAGCACGTAAACTAGTGGCAAATAGGGCAGCAATATGGGGTGGTGCAAATATATCTTTCATTGTATAAATGCATAGCCTGTAGGTTAGAGTGGCAATAGCGGGCAAATTATGTATAAAAATCTAGGGGTGACCACAACCGATCAAAGCTTAAGATGAGTGGGTAGAGCTGCGTACTATCACTCCGCAAGAACTGAGTACGATCCCTGGTCCGAGTAAGATCTAAATCAGAAAAAGTTTTTTCTTACAGCGGTCGCCTGTCAGCAGGCGAAAAAGCTTCTCAGCGAGAATATGAGAAATGGCGGATTTTCCAGCAGGGTAACTTTACCCTGCCATACATGTGGTAATGCTTTTCTAATGACATTACGAATGCATTTCAGTCACATGAGAGTCATAAAATTGGTTGACAGCCTTTTCTCTGGACTATTACGATTTTTTATTTTTTATGCATTTCGAAATGTATTCTCTATGTTTTAGTATATGTATGTACGGATGTGTATGTGCTCTTGTGCCTCTTTTATTTCTCCACTACGGCAAGTACTTTTCTTGTGTATTTCTTCCGCTTACCACTTTCTCTCTCATTAAATTAAAAAAAGCAAACGAGGTTATACATACATATTAATGTTGGCACATGAGTGTCAAGAGCAAAACAAGAGTGAAGAAACTTAAACAAAACAAAAGCATATTTAGTGATTTAGTGCAAAGGCACCTGCTTTAAGTATTTAATTATTTTAAAATTACGCCCATCAACACTCAAATAATATAAATTTGAACAAAACTCAAATCGTATCCGTTTAAAGAGTACCATAAATATATGGTAAGAGTAGCATATATGCAAAATCCTGAATGTGCACTCAGAAAAAGATTTAGTTATAATTACCAAGATTTGGTTATAGTGACGAAGTGGCATAGTTAGATATGGCGAAATAAATATCTAGTTCACGAAAGTCTGCAATTTACTTGAGACTTCTATTTGGGACAAATGTATATTTGTTAATAATTACAATACGACTACCTTGAGTGGACAATATTGTTAGTTGAATAAAATCA